CACAGAGGGTGATTTTATCCAGTTTCATTTCTTTAATTTTTTTTTAAATCTGGTCAAAAACTGAAATATACTATAGGGAATATAGATTTTTTTAAGGGTCAGTCTCAGAATCACTGAAGGGACCATTTATATTTTACCCCTGGGGGGCAGGGGCAGGGGGCTGATTTTTGTTTCGAAGTTTCAAGTTGACTTTTTCAACTTGCGATGAAAAAAATTCTCAAAACAGCCTTTTAATCTTAATTCGCGTTCTTATTAGCCTTCAAATGCTATATTCAACCATAAAAAAAAGAGAAAATCTCCGTTCACAGAATGAAAAACTAATTGAAAAGTGCAAGTTCCCGGGATTAATTCTCATAATTGCAAGTCTGAAGTGGTCATGTGCCTTCTGTTTAATAATTAAGGTCGGAAATTATGGGAAACTTTCAGAAACACTGAATTATTAAACAACTTCTTGGCAGCTTCAATCTATCAAAGAACACCTGCTGAACTTCTGGAGAAGAAAAAAAAAAGAAATTTTCACTTTTGTTGAAAAATCACTTTGGAATTTTCTGGGAAAAACAGAACAAGTAGATACAGCATTTAAAATGAAAAAAATTGTAAGAGCATTTAAAATGAAAAATTTCACAACTTCTAGAAAAAGGGCTCAAATTCCCTAAATCATACATCAACAGGCTTCTAATGGTTTTCCCTGAATTTTAGGGACTATATTTCACAAAAACTGGGATTTTTCTTAGGGTGAAACTCGCAAGGCCATATTTAGATACATCAAAAAGTAATTCAGTCCTTTTTCAAAATTTTCCAGTAAAACCCTCGCAACTTATGAGAAAATTGCATTCACGTTGTTTTTTACTCTTTAAACAGAACTTATGTGCGTTTTCTCTAGAATCTCCCAACAAAAAAATACCAAGTGAAAAAGGATTTTTCAAAGAAACGAAGCCATAGAAGTCCATCAAAAGCTTGTAAAACAGGCCATTCTTCGACTTTGATTCATTCTTCCTCCAAAACTAGGAAGTCGTGCATCCTCAAAATTTCAGGATATTGGTGTTTCAGTGAAATGTCTTGCGCCACACATAACCCAGACGCATTTTCTCTAGGAAAATCTCGCAAAAAACCAAGCGGGAAGAGAATTTTTAAAAAACAAAAAAAAGTAAACGATTGGGTGACCGGTTAAAACAATTCATTTAGAGACTTTAGTACCTTATTTCTCAAAAACTAGGGGGTCGTTCAATTCCAAACTTTCAGGGTAATAATCTAGTACTTCAACGAGTTTTCTCGCTCAGAAAATTCTCAGCCTACAGTAAAATTGACCTCTTTGTAGGGGAAATACGTGTTTTCTTGATTATTTTGCTCCCAACACAATCTAGACGCTCTGAAATATTCTCACAAAAAACAAAGCGGAACAGGGATTTTCGAAGAAACAAAAAAGAAGAGAAAACGATCGGGAAACTAGTTCAAACGAACCATTTTGAGGCTTATTTTTCAAAAACGAGAAATTGTTGCCTTTTGAGAATCTCAAAGCCTTCTACTACTATTTAAAAAAAGGGTTTCGGTATAATTTTCGAAGGTCAAATAACTCTCCTCGTCAGGATTATCTTCCCTATCAGAAGTTTTATACTTTTTCGGAATATTCTAGTCGCTTTTTCGTTGAATTTTTCGATCCGAATAAAACCTAGACGCATTTTCTGCAGAAAATTCTCACAAAAAACGGAACAGGAAATTTCCAAAGACACGAAAAAAGGAAGAAGAGGAAACGGAGGCCGATTGGGTAATCCGAGTGCTTCTGATCCGCCACAGAAGCACGTGCCACAGCGGCGTCACTCCATTCAATTAACCATTCATTGTTTTTTTCGAGCCAGCCTCGAAACAAATGAATTCGCCTGCTTCGAAATTGTTGTAAAACCACCAGCACGTTTAACCGAAAACCAAACAATCAAGGGGAATGCTCCTATTTTTGGGCCGTCTAGAAGTTAAAATTGTATTTTAGATCTGGACGACATTCCTATTCTTGAGGATCATGAATCGATCAACTTATTCAATGAAATAAATTAGAAAGTTTAGTTTCTAATTGCGAAAAATAATAATATCCCAAAAACTTGACTACAAAAAGTTCTCCTTGACTATATCTTTTTTTATAAATGTTTCAGGTAGAGTTGGGGTTCAAAAATCAGAGAGAGGAGGAGATTTAAAGGAATCAGGGGGTTGGGTTCAAGTTTAAGCGTGAAAAAGTCTTAAAACATCAACTTTTTCGTTCTTCGGTATCAAATTTGAGCCTGATTGGTAAACTATATCTAGAATCTCTCTGTAAAAAAATCCAAAAATTAAATGTAACTATGTTCAAAAAAATGGACAGAAAAGGAGATCTTGACAATACAACTTTCACCGACACTTTAATAAATTTGACCTTTTTTTGGAAAGTACAGATACAGTACTTTCAAGTGGCCACTAAAGCACTCCGAATAGAAAAAAGAGGGCTCTTAATGTTTTTAATTGGTGTCCGAAAACTCAATATTGAAGTTATAAACAAATAATCCAATATTGAGAAAAAGAGGAATTTTTTGGATTTTTTGAACTCTTCTCACTTCAAAATTGCAGATCTTCTAGTCATGTGAAAAAAAAATTTTTTTTTCGAAAACGAATTCTGAGCAGGATCTATGGATTGAGCCAAGGGTCCTGACACGACAAGACAGGAGACAGTGCCTGGATGTTGGAGAGCGCAGACAGGCCACGCCCCCTCAGCATCTCAAGCTAGCCGTGTATCTACTATAACTATGAAGCAAGAGAAAGCTCAGAAAAATGAAATATTGGTGTGAATTGTCGACGTCGTCGAGTAAGAAGCACAGAATAATTGGAGGAAACTCCAACCTCCCTAATTACCCACGGAGTTTATACGTAGTTTATAGTTTGAACCCAAATCACCCACGTATTTACGTCAGAGGGGAAGATAATTATTAGGTGAAGAAAAAAACGTGACACCAATTATTTTCTACTTCCTTTGAACTTTTCTTCGAACTTTATGATGAAATTATTGGGAATAAAAAATATATTTTTCAAAAAATAAATAAACTGACTTGGAACTCTTCCTTTGTGGATAATCGAATCATGGCTCGGTTGGAAAAAGGCGATTTTTTTGACGAGAAATACTGAAAAACAACTATTTTTTTCAAGGAGAATCTTGTGATAGTTTCAATATAATTTAAACTTTCAAAAGCTTGAAAAGGCCACCTTTTTAGAAATTTCAAATTAAGTCGCAAAATGGATCAGATTGATTCGAAACCTGCACAAGAAGCTGCATGAAAAAAACAAAATGGGCAAAAACGATGATAACTCTTGAAAAATTGAGCACATTTCAGTTTTTCAAGTGCTCCACGGAAATGAGAGCAAAATTAAAGTTTTAAAACTTTTGGGATAACTTAAAAGTACACTTAAGAAACCGCTAAACTGGTCACTGAAATTGCTCGAAAAGTCCGTTGCGCGTTACCAAAGCTTGTGCGAGGGCCGGCCCGTCAGCCTCTCGGCCTCCCGGCCACTTCCCAGGACCCGCCCGGCACGGTCTTAGGGAGGCCTCAAGCGAAAATGACGGCCCAGCCCAAAAAACACAAACTTTCTTCAAGTCGAACTTTCCGCTTTTTTTACCGAGAAAAGTGGTGTTTTTTTGCTTATTTTTTTCTCATAGTTATTAGAAATTATAGGTCAATAAGTAAAAAAATAATTTTTTTCAAAAAAAAATAAAAAAAATTTCTTTTTTTAAAAAAAGAAATTTTTTTAAAATAAAATTTCAGATTTCTTTCGAAGCCCGGCCTGGACCGAGCCCATACAGGCCTTTTTTAATTGTAGGCCCAAAGCCCGGACCGAACCGCCTGGCGTTACCAAGGTCAGAGAAGAAAATCATATAAAATTTCGGATTCTCCGTGGAGCGCAATAGATATTTCCCTTTCAAATCTGAAACAATCAAATTTTTAACACAATAACCATTGATCTTTTTTGAACACAAAAAATTAAAAATTAAAAAATTAGTAAAAAAAAAAGTTTATTGAGTTATTTTCGAGTGGAGATCATACATTGAACTGCGCACGACGAGAAAAAAGGAAATTGCAGGAAAAATAGCAAAAAAAGGCCAAGCAACTGATAACAAGAATCACCGGATTAAGCGATAAATGGTATTTTTTTTTTCGAAAAAATAAAAGTAAAAATTCAAATTTTCAAAATTTGACAAACAAATCTATATTCACAATGAATTAAAATCGAAATTAGCTCATAATTTGAAAAAAAAAGTCAAAAAATCTCTAGCAAGCATATGAAGAAATATATATATTACATACCCAAAAATCTATTTGAAAACATGGTTGAGGAAAGTTGTAGTGGTCTTTTTAGGGGCCTTATATTTTTTACACTACTAGAATGGCCCCTGGAATTCTTAGAGGTCTGAAGACTCTAGTCGGACCTCTTAAGTGACCACTTGATTTTCCAAAAGAATGATTCTATATTTAGACTTTTTAAGCAACGATAAAAAGCCACCAAAAGGATAAAAAAACCCTAAAGAATCCACTTCAGCTTCTCCAAAAACTGTAGTGGTCTTTTTAGGGATATTCTCCTTTGACACTTCTATAGTGGTCACTTGAAGTCTGAAGTCCCAGTGTGATCCCTAAAGTGACCCCTAAGTCTTCTAAAAGCCTGAGTCTCCACACAGACCTCTTTAGGCAATAAAAATGAAAAAAACCCTGAAGAATCCACTTCAGCTTCTCCAAAAAAGTTGTAATGGTCTTTTTAGGGGTTTACTCTTTTCACACTACTAAAGTGACTAATTGAAGTCTGAAAACGGACCTCTGAAGTGACCACTGGAATTTCTAAAAGCTTGAAGCTCTATTTACACCTCTTTAGGCAAAAAATGAAAAAAAAAACCCTAAAGGATCCACTTCAACTTCTCCCAATTTTTCCACATAACTTTGGCAAGCAAGAATATCACAAGTGATCATTTGAGGGGCATTGGGATTTTTTTCAAATTAAACTTGGTCGCCGTGCTGCTGAGCGTACTTCTTCACGATTTGCTCCTCGCGAAGTTTGACGACTTGCATGAAATTGTTGACCTGAAAGTTGCCACTTAAGGGTTTTTCTGGTGTTGAATTCTGAGTGGAATGACGGCCTAGAGTGACGCCAGAGAAAGAGAGGTTTCTCTAGCGTCTCTTCAAAAGCTGTTGTTCTCTAATTTTCAAAGAAAACTGACCATAATCGTGATGGGCAGTGCCAACACCATGACGCCACATACGATGGCGCCACTGCCAACCAATTTTCCGGCTACCGTAACCGGCACGAGGTCACCGTATCCTACCGTAGCCATCGTCACGACGCACCTGAAGCCTTTCATTGGATTTGAGCTCATTTGCCGATACATTTTGATCTCTCTGGGCTCTCTTACTTGATTGCTATTTTCATGCTTTTGTGACCTCATCGATGAGAGAGAAAAGAGCGCAGAGAGGTCAGAATGTTTCAATTCGTTACGAATGGAGTATTTTTGATATTTTCGGGAATTTTTTCATAAAAAGCTAAAAAGAAACCTCGAGAATGTCTCAAAATGACCCCGAATTCGGCTTGGAGACTTGGGCACTTAGAGACTCAACTAGAGACTTTGAGACTTACCATGAATCCTGAGACCTAAGACTCAACCTACAGACTTCAACACTCTCTTTTCAGAAACGATGACTTTACCGTACTTTTGCTAGTCATCACAAGACCCGTTTTGGTTGAAACCCACTGATCCTTCGAAACTAGCGTTTTTCCCCCAAAAACTGACCACCAGAAGGTCGCCGGAATGCTGGTGAACTTGGTGTTGGGCTCGTCGCGTTCGAGGAAGTAGATGAGGGTCGAGAAGAAGATGACCACCGTCATCATCACGATTCCAACCATTTGCATCTGTTTCTTCGACTTCCGGATTGTCAAGGCGAAGTTGGCGAGGCCTGAAATGAGAAAGGAATAGAATTATCAGAAAAATTTCAATGATTTCGGGATTTTCAAAAACTCTCTACGGTTTTAAATGGACGCGAATGACCCTCCTTTAATTATTTTTTTATCTTCAATATGTCTAGTGAAGAACCCCGGGAAGAACCTGCGTCGTCATTATAGACACAACATGTTCTCTCGGCTTTATGACAAGCCTTTCATTACAAACTTCAAGCAATTTTTCGAAAACGTTTTTATTTTCTGGATAACTATCCCACTTTCCCTTTTGTCAATATAACAAGCATAAAAATTCTTTTCATCAAAAAAAAATCTGTATCTATTTCTTTTTCCATTGAGTTGAGAAATTTTGAAAATCATAAAAAGTGACAAATACATTAAACGAAGCTTATTCAACTTTATAAAGCCATTTTCGGACTATCAACCTTGAATTCGCTTCTGAAGGGATCAAAAAACGTTTTAATATGAAAAATAAAGCGAACCAGGTGAGAATCGTCCCAGTTTGGCGATTCGAATGACTCGAAGTACTCGGAGGAGTCGGACCGTCAAAAAGGCCCACCGTACTTTCCGGACGTTCTCACCGCTGAGGCCACACTAAATATTACTCATCTTCATTGAACTTTTCAGCTGAAGTGAAATATCAACGGCTTGATGAACTTACCAGTAAAAGAAGAAGCTCAAAGTAGAACGGAGCTATGGAGAGCAAGTCGATGACGTTCAGAAATTGTCGGGCGAAGGCCACCTTCAAATAATAATTTTTTAAAATCAATTTTTATTTATGAAAAAGTTTCTTCATGTCTAAACAAGAGAGAGAACAATTTCAGTCTGAAGAGACGCCAGAGAAGGTAGCGTATCTGTTCGTCTGACGTCTCTACAGGCGCTCTGCACTCTTTCTGCTTTTGGCAAAACTTTCTAGGCTTAAGATGGAAAACTAAATATGAAAAGCTTATAAATCACTTATTGAAGTTTTGATGGCCTTAATTCCAAATATATTTCTGAACCAAACAAAAAAGAGATTCGCGACTTCAAAAACTGATTTCGAAGTGTTTAGACAAGAATTAAACATGAGAAATAATGTGAGAGTCGAATTTTTAAAATTTTTAAGATGAAGCTCACATTTTTTGAGGCAAAGTTTCTTTAATTTTGTTAAGATACGAGTTTTTGAAGTCATTAATCCCATTTTTAGGCAAAACATGTTTAAAATTTTGCCGGTGACCTTTCTGAATGTTTTCCAAGAATTCCAAGAATTTGTAAAATATTTTGTTCAAGGTTTTTTAAAGAGAAAAACAAACTTTTCTCGGGGCTACAATGAATCTCGTCGCGTATTCCAATGAAAAGTAGATTACACAGACGTTTTCGACCCAAGTGAACACCGGATGTTCCGTCATTTCCACCTAAATACACTATTTTTCCGAATAATTCACACTTTCATAAGTTTCCCTTGTTTGTAAGTTAGTTAGAACATGAATAAGAGCTATAGTTCATTCACCGCTGACTGAGAGCGAAAGACTGTGCAAAAATGGAGGTTTAGACGTTTCAATAGCTTTAAGTTAACTATGAATGGACTATAGCGTCATGAAAAATACAAATATTCAAAAATCTATTTTAAAAAACCTTTCTGTAAACATTAGATTCCGGCGGCTCCGATTCCTGGAAGATTATTAGAGTTTTGAGCAAAATGGGGTCCATTTAAGGGATTAGAAACATTTCTGGCTCTTTTTTTTTGCTCGTCAGGGAGGTGAGTTCAGTAAGAAGTTGAGAATTCGTACGAAATTTTCCAAATATTAGATAAAGATCCCTCACAACCTCGATCTACGCAATCTCCTAGTTTTGGAGTTGTGAGATTCCAAAGTTCTTAAGCAAATTTTTGATGCTTGATTTTTGCTGCGATTTAAAAAAATGCTCAATCTTCATAGAGTGTTTGAACCGATTCCTACAACACTTAAAGCATCAATAAAATAAGAAACATCCGAAAATTTTAACTTGAATAACCTTAGCTCTTCCTAGATCAAAAAGGAAATTTTCTTCAACCCCCTCCAGAAATTTCATGAAGCTATCTTCAACGTACTGCAGTTCCTTCAATTTTTATCATATGTACAAATTGTTCAATAGGCCTTAAATTTAATTTATGACCCTTCAAAACCTAAAAAAAACTTCACTTTAGGGATCTTTTCCGACTTTGAAGCGTTATATCTCCAAAACTAGGTAAATTACGCTAATTCGTTTTGTTCTGAGATCAAGAGGTCTTCAAGTACAACCCTTCCAAGTTCCACTAAAAGTTCATAGCTTCCTTCCAAGTTTATCAAGTTCCCACCAACCGAGTTATCATATCCCTCGCGGACGACGGTCCTCGACTCAACGGTCATTCCGCCCCCATTCGGATAGGTCGGATAGGTGGCCGTCGCGTAGACCAACTGACCATCCTCCGACTTTTGCGGCACTTGGAACTCGGGGATCGAGCCGAGGATCAAGGCTGAGATGGACAGGACGACGAAGGCCGTGGAGATCACCTCGAAGGCCTGGAATCACTTAATAAAGCTCGAGGATTTCAGAGTGATAGAGTAGATTCTCAGTCTCATAAAAATTCTTGAAAAGCTGAAGAAGTGGTCACTAAAGGGAAAAAAAGCATGAAGTTGTCTTGTGCCTAGTAATTATGCTTTGCCGGATAATGCAAGTAATCTCCTGAGTGGCTCTGTAAGTGTTCCCTGAAGGGTTTTGATCTTTCAACTTGAGGCTTGGCTCCTCAGTACGATGCTCCAACTAACAGCTTTCAGAAATGCTGAGAAATATTCGGAAGGGGCCGCTAGTGATATTTTTTCCTTAATCATAGCTAGATCTCAAGCTGGACCTTACAAGATCCTTCAATCTTATCTTCACGTAGAATTTTTCCAAGGGTTCCCTCGAGTGTTTCGTTTCAAAAAAAAAATCTCAGGCTCAAAAAGAGGCCACTAAAGAGTTCAAAGTGGTTTTGACAGTACATGTCATCAGAGAATGATCCCATCGAAACATTGCCCATTGATTTTACTTTTTTCTACAGAAGTGTTCCCTGAAGGGTTCACATCCATAAACTTCAGGCACTACTAGTCAGTACGATGCTCCAACTTACAGCTTTCAAAAGTCTGTAAAAATATTCAAAAGTGACCCCTATAGTGATCTAGTTTCAACAAAGATAGCTAGACCTAAACCTGGACCTTCCATCCGATCTTCACTTCAAAGTTTTCCAAGGGTTCACTCAAGTGTTTCCGGAAAAATCCCTCACCTTCCACCATCTCGAATGCGTGTGTCCTTCCAGTATCAGCCATAATCTCCTACGGATATTTGCAAAACGAACGCCAATGAAATGATCTTTCTCCTGCAAAAATACCTTGCGACATTGAATTTGAAAAAAATAAAACAAAAGAAGCTTCAAAATAAGCGAATTGTCGCGTTCAAAATAGTTTTTGAGTATTTTAATGACCTTCGAGGATTTTATATAGTCTGGAAGTTGAAAATAACTATTTTGAACTCGGCATGGTTCATTCAACGCTAGCTTGAACTTCTGTAAAAAAAAAGGAAATTGTCGTCAATTATGATGTCAGGTACGCAAACAGCGGATTCGACGTGAAAAAGCTGGGAAATTTGCTTTTTTTCAAAAACTGATTTTTCGATCTTACTTCGCAAAAAGCTTTAGAAAAAATATCAGAACACAGAAAAATGCAATGAAAATCAGACAACTCAAAAATTCGGAAAAAAACTTAGGCTTCCAGATTTTTTTATACCGCCAATTTTCGAGCATTTTTCCAACAAACTACGTCAAACCAACTGTTTCTGTACTAAAACACATTTTCAAATTTTTTTTTTTCGTACTTATAACTCTGCCCAACTACATAGCTAGCATTGAAAAAACCGTTGAATCTGCGAAGAGCAATCAAAAAATGTTAGTGATTTGCTTTTTTTTTTATACCTTATTTGTTTTGAGAGGAAAAATCATGCTAATTATCAAGCAGTGAGAAGATTAAAGATTAAAACTAATTATTATCGGTATTTTCCACGACTCAAATGCACCTGTTGCAAAGCTGCAGCTGCAGCTTCTTCCTGAACAATTGAAACTTACGAAATGACCAGGAAAAAAAGCGAGAAAAAAACAAAATTAATACTAAAAATTGATAAGTTCATCGCTGGCTTGAGAAAAAAACCATTCAGCGATAAAAAAGGGCTGAAATTTAAAAAAAAAGAAGGTCATAATATCGAGAAAATTTAAAGACGCACGTAGAACGTTCCATAGGATATCCCGGCGCGAAAATCAGTTTTTTGTTCCAAGCCAGCGATGAATGGACTATTTTCAGATACCGTTCCACGATTGTCGCCCATGGTCACGCAGTACTGTGTGAACGGCGAACAACACTCGTCCATCCGCGTTTTCGAGACCGCCCAGAATCGCAACTCCGCCATGAACTTGTCGAAGCAAAGGTCCTGACATATTTTTTCAGTTTGAGGGGGAAAAAACTTTCCCACAGGACCTGCGCCTTTAAAGGCACATGGCTCGTGAAAATCAACTTCAAAAAAAAATTTCGAGCATCGCATGGCGATTTCAGAAAGCCTTTTCGGCAAAAAGGTTACCAACTAAATTTTTAAATTTTAGTCCCTCCAGAAAAGCAATCTGTGCCTTTAAATGCCAAAAAAGGCTAAAAACAAAATTTTCGAAGTTTGGTCCCTCGACAAAGGGCATCTGCGCCTTTAAAGGCACATGGCTCGTGAAAACGAGCAACCAAGAGAAAAACGTCATTATAGGCTTTTTCACAGCATTTCAGGGAGTCGGCAAGTAAATGTGAAGAAATACGCTTCAAACTTAATTTTTCAAACCACCGTTCATTCTCAAGAATCATCTGCGCCTTTAAAGGCACAGAGCAGTGAGAAAGGACTTCGAAGAGCAAAACGCCATTTTTCAAGATTTTCAAAGTGATTTTCGAGTTCTATGCAAAAAGGGTACAAAAAATTTTCAAAGTCTACTTCCTCCAAAAGAGGCATCTGCGCCTTTAAAGGCACAGAGCTCGTGAAAATAAGAAAATAAGAACGAGAAAAACTTCCTCATATGATATAGCTTTTCTTAACCATTTCATACAGTCTCTGAAGCAAAATGAAATTATCAACATAATTTTAGAGCTCTAGTCCCTTCAAAAGAGCTACCTGCGCCTTTAAAGGCACAGAGCAGTCAAAAAGAACTTCGAAGTACGAAAATATTTTTTTTTTCAAGTATTTCATAGCGACTCCAGGAACATTTTTAAAAAATGCTTGTTCTTAAATTTTTCAAAGACTCTCCAGTCTTAAGAACCATCTGCGCCTTTAAAGGCACATAGCTAATTTATCTTCAAATCCTTCTTTATTTCAATCACCTTGGGTACATGAAGCTTTCCGGTAGCGTAAAAGTCGTAGATTGGGTCGAAATACCTGAAAGAATGCCTTTTCTAAAACAGTAAAAACAATTTGGGGAGAACCTCGGGACTCGCTCGAAAAAGTACTCGTCCTGCTCTTCGAAGTACCAATCGGCCCACTGACGGCGATGTTCGTGGTTCATTCTGACGAATCTTCCTGGAAGTTATTTTTCTATGAATTTTACCAGTTTTGAGCAAATTTTTTTTACTGAAAATGACAGTAAAAAAAGAATTTATAGACAGAAAATTCCTCAATATTCAGACCAAATGACCCTTGAAAATCGTTTTTAACACATTTCACCTTCTTTTTTTTTCAGAATCTTAGAAAATAGCAAGAAGTCTTACCTAACAAGGTCTTGGGCCCAAACTTAATGATGGACCTTGTCCGGATACGGTAGCTGCTGCCGCCAATGTTCAGCCGGAGCATCGTATCCTAAAAATCAATAATTATCTCTAAATCCCCTCAAAACCTACAGGAACAGTTTCCCGGATGCTATTTTTATGCCCCGACCTATCGATGGGCATACGCGCCTCGACGTCATCATCGTTTGCGTATCTGAAAAAAGAAATTTCCGGAGAATTTTCCAAGGTCTCTTGATAGTACTCGGAACGGTTCAAGGCTTGCAATCCTAACTTGGAAAGTCCTGCTTCATTTGATTATAGTACAGGGCGCAAGCGGAATCTGGTCGGATGCAAATTTTTCGGTATAAAACCTTGATGCTGTTTAGATCTTCGGAATATCAGGCGCAAGTAGTTTCTGGTCGGACGCAAGATACCCTAACCAAAAAGCCTTACAGCCGAATTTAGAATTACTCAAAGCTTCAAGCACCTAAAAGCGCTTTTGCTAGAGTCATTCCAAATGCGACTTTAGCGTGAAAAGGGTGTATTTTTGAAAAGTAGCGAATTGGCGCAGCCGTATCTGGTCGGATGCAAAAATTTTGAAATATCGTCATTTTTTTTGAATTGGCAAGCCGTATCTGGTTGGATGGTGTAAACAACTTGATGCTGCCATAAACCATATCCAAGAAAATGAGGCGCAAGTAGTTTCCGGTCGGTTGCAAGGTAACCTTACTGCCGCATTTAGAATGGCTCAAAACTCTAAGCTTAAAAGAGCGCTTTTGGTACTGCCATTCCAAATGCGACTTTAGCGTGAAAAATGAGCAAATAGAACCCAATACTCTTGAAAAGAAGAGAATTGACGCAAGTCGCTTGTAGTCGGGTGCAAGAAAACTAGATCAACATTCTCAGCCATCACTAATGAGATCAGAAGTTCAGACGCCACGTGAGATATTATGAGTACTTTTTTCGAACTTTTTATGCCTTGTGTTACTTTTTTTTTAACTTTATGCTACCAAGCGTAAGTCGGTTCAAGGTCCGCTGCAGCCTTCCCACATGCTTTTTATAAAAATTTTCTCTTTCAAGAAAAAGACCAACTTGATGCTGAGCTTCTCGTCGATGCTCATTTTGTCGGGCGGGTCCACGAGAGGCATCGATTCCCGATCTTTGCCCACTGAACTTGAGGCGATTTGTCTGAAATATCCAGTTTTAGTTTATTTTTCACGTATTTTCTTTCTAGATCTAAAAAAATCCCAAACTCACGCGGCCACCGGCGCAATGATCAATGCCATAGTTTGAGCGTCGTTTTTTCACTGTTTTCAAAATATTTATTGCTTTCAACGTATGGACGAGGATTAGACGATGACAGTAGTGATAAAATTCATTCAAAGGTTTCTAGGCTCCGCCCCTTCAACGACAGTAACCCATTCGTTTCAAGACCTTTGGTGGAATCCAAAATTTGAGGATAGAACAATAGCAAAGATTTTTTCCAATGAAGAACTTGAAGCGAAATATTGTACTGTAGATAAAGAGGCTGGGCCTAAAAAACCAAAATTTTTGAAAATTTCTGTTCAGACAGGACAAGTCGATTGGCGAAGTTTGAATTTTTATGAAAAAACTTTTTTTGAGCTGCACAGTGAATGAATTCATCAGGAAGTTATCCTAAAGTATAATACTACAAAAAGAGATCAAAAATCTCGAAACTAGCAAAATTTATGACGAAAAAAGGCCTCCAAGTCTACTCATCCGTGAGTAATCGAGTGCAAAGTTGCTTTTCACGAAAACAATCTCAAAGCTCATATTTTTTCAAGTTCAAGGATCCTAAGTTTTCTAGTTTCCAATAAAATAGAATTTGTAGAGAATAAACTTGAAAAGAGACTTTTTTTGAACTGATTTTTTTGCAAAAATGAAAATTTTTCGGAACGAGTAGCTTTACACAATAATTTTAAAAGTTTGAAATTTTTTTTTCTCCACCTCTTTTTTTTTCCCCAATGTCAATTTTTCTATCTTTTTTTTTCAAATTCTAGGCGGAAGAGATATATTTTCTACAGAAAAATTGATAAAATTCGATTCAACAAAAAAAATTGGAAAAAGAGCATCTTGTAATAATTCTATTCTCATTTAGAAAAAAATCTTCAAATTTAAACGTATATGAATAAAAATTGAATGCCTAAATTATCATTATCTGCGTTGAAAGGGAGAAAAAAAAATCTCAAAATAGAATTTAAAAATTCAATTTTTCAATGTTAATCTTATACACTTTGAAAAATTCTCGATGAAACCTGAAGAAAATAATTTAGAGCTCAAAATCAAAGAGCAATCCTTTCCAAAATGCCTATTTCTATAACCACGGCGTTCCCAAACGGGATGGAAAGACGTTGAAAAAATTTTGGCGCGAAATTTCGAATCTCAAGTACGCAGCCAAAGGTGATCGAACAATCAAGCTATTAACGTTGAATGTTCAGTGTAGAATGACGTCATTTTATCCGGAGCGCGCACTTACTTTTTTTTTGTAAATTCAGAAATCTTGACGCCTCAGCTTCCCTTACCCCATTAGGAATGCCGTGATAATGCCCAAAAGATTTACTAGAAAAGAGGCCTGGATATCAAAATCAACGAGCGAACTTTTCTAAAATGCCAAAATCTACAACTTTCGAAAACTTCATTTTGAAACCTGGATCTCAAAATCAAAGAGCAAACTTTCCCAAAATGCCAATTTCTCAAAACTTCAACAATCGAGGGACATTTTCAGTAAGTTGGTTAGTCCAAACACCACAAAACAACTGCAAACGAGAGGATGTATAGGATTCGAGTATGATACACCGTGATAGTCGGTGACCGAGGTGAAAAAGATAGATAAATTGGCTCCTCGGAGAACGAAAAGAACCAATTTTTTTTTTCTTCGGTTCCTGCAGTTGTTCTGGGCGGGACCAACACAGAGGTCCACCTCTTTTTCAGCTTTTGAGAAAAGAAAAAGAAGACCCCACTAAAAACAAGGTAATTGACTTTTAACGAGCCATCTATTCTCAAAGTGCTCGAGGGGGGAGAGGCAAAACTGAAAGCTTGTTAATGGGTTCCGAGAGGCTTTTGGTCCTTGAGCGAAAGATCATTTTTGGATTGAAGTTTTTCCGATTTCTTTGATTTTTCATGATTTGAGACATCCTGGCCGCGTTTGGAATGGCTCAACGCGCTGTGGTTCCTTTTGTCGATGCAATGGTTGCTCTTGAAAAATGGCGCAAGTCGTTTCACGTCGGGTGAAATTTTGAAACCCCCGTAATCGCCGTTTAGCCATTCCCAATGCGTCCATAATGTTTCATGTCCATTCTACTTTACAAATATAGACAGGAATTTTAAGAAAATGACGAAAAATAAGAAAAAAATGAAGGATTTCACGCTTTTTCCCGTTAGAATTTACTATTCGACAAAAACCCTAACCTTTTTTTAAATTGTTAATTAGTAACTGAGGAACGAAGAGACCTTAAAAAAAGAACCATTTTTTTGTTAATTTGTGGAAAAAAAGCATCAAAAAGAGCGTAGAATGCAGAAAAATTAGAAAATCCTGCCGTTCTTTTTTTAAAAAAACTGAATCGAAGCATTATTACTTTGAAGTTATATTCATTTGGAAAGCTTGAAAAAGTGCTCCTCGGAGTGAAAAATGTGCCCAAAATCAGCTGCTGTTCTTTTTTTTGAACTTTCCAAAAATCGTAGAAAATCATAAACTCAAAAACTTTTCTCACTTTCATGGATAAGAAAAATTGGATCTATCGAAAAATAATAATCAAGAGAAGCTCCAAGGAATTAGATTTTTTTCAAGTACTAGGAGCCGTTGGTGAATGTTCTCACATGAATATTCATCAGCCTCCTTTCAAGTCTCAACCGAGTTATAAGAATCGAAAAAAAGAGTGTATCCGCATTATAATGAGCGCTCTTCATTGTACTTACTCATCAGTTATTGGCTTAACCTTAACAGAAAATATATTAGGTCCCAAAAAAGTTGGTTTTCTAAGAGTTTTCTGGGGGTTTTCTAGAGTTTTTCTAGCAGTTGGGAAAAGCTTCAGTGGTTGCTTGAGGGGCTTCTCGAGGACTCCTTGGAAAGGGCACTAAAGGGACCACTAAACACTGAAGAGGCCACTAAAGACTCTCCAAAAGTGTATCCACATTATAAAATTAGCGCTCTTCATTGCACTTACTCATCAGTTATTGGCCTAACCTTAACAGAAAAAAAATTAGGTTCCAAAAATCTGGTTTTCTAGGGTTCTAGCATCTGGGAAAACTTAAGTGGCTACTTAGGAGGCTCCTCACTAAGAAGTCAAAACCCTAAAGAGGTCACTGAAGACTTCCCGAAAATTTTATCATTGATAGAAGAGCAAACTTGAGGTTTTTGTAGTATTCCAAAAGTTAATTTTTTTGAAAACCTTAAAAAATTTGAAAAAAATAGTTTTTTTATGATAGGAAATACTTGGCCGCGCTGAGAATGGCTATACTGTAACGATTTCTGTTTCGCCCGACTTGAAACGACTTGCGCGCTTCTCAGGTTCAACTTCGAGAAAAAGACCCGTGTCATGCGACCAAATATGAGAGTATTAGTCTACAAAACCTCAAGTCCTTTTCAAAAAACTAAAAAAATTCCAAAGATCACTCCCTATCAAAAAATTTATTTAAACGTTTTTCCCCCGAAAACAAATAAACTTTGTTTTGTAACTTGTAACCGACTTGTCGAGTAACAAGAGCAGTTGCTCATCGGTTGTGTAATTTTTTGTTTTGACATCAAAGCCGCCACTTTGGAGGACTGGCCAGAGGATTCAACATAAACGGAAGGAGAAGCTTGGAATTATTTTTTCGAAAAAAATTCTGCAAAGAAAAAGAAGTATGGGCTATTTTTTGACACTAATTTTTCAGCTGTTTAGGGTTCAAAGATCAAAACGGAGCATGTTTCAAAATAAATCGAAAATGCTTCAAAAAAAGAGCGGATTAGGCCAAAAATGGTCGCGAAATGGCTTGAAAATCGAAAAAAAAATGCATTTTTGGAACCTTTTCAAGACAAATTTCTTGAAAAAAAAATTTTTTTTTCATCTTATTCTTTCTGCAAGCCATCTTGAAGAATGAAATTTTTGTTTCAAAATCGAATAATGTTTCAAAATTTAATAACAATTCTAAAAAATGTCCTATTTTGAGCGTTTCCCTACAACTAATCATCAAGATATAGCTATTAATCTCGATGAATTTAGAACGAAAAAAAATAACAATAAACAGATGGCAAAGTGAGAAGAACCCAACGAGGTGCAATAAAAACGCCCCGAAAAGTGCAATGGAGCGTACAAATTCCGGCTCAATAATCTGTTTTGAAACGTCTCTGAAAGTGCGGTTTTTGTGGGATAAGTGCGTTGTTTGGATTAATGTTTCCTTTTTTTTTCATGGAAAAAATGACCCGAATGATCAGTTGGTTAATCTGAAGACTTCATTGGAGAAAAACATCAAAAAATCCAAAATTGAGCTTTCAGTTCTCAAAAAGTGAAACTTTACTGCTGAAAAAAATTTTTCAAAATCTACTAATTTTTCTCAAAAAAAATGCCCCAAATGAAAAATTTGATTAATCCGAAGAATTCCTTGAAGTAAAAAAATCAGTGAGAAAAAGCGAAAAAAAGCCGCAAAAAAATCCAGTCTATCAAGTTAAAAAATAGAGTTTCACCTCTCAGGCGTGAAATTTTACTACTGGAAAACTTTCAAAACCTAATTTTCTCAAAAAAAAAGTTGATCCGAATGATAAGTTGATTAATTTGAAGACCTCTTTAACAAAAAAAAACCGGAAAAAAATAGGAAAAGCTGGAAAAAGGAGCTTTTTAAGTCAAAAAATAAGGCTTTTCAACTCTCAACCGTGCAATTTTACTGCTGGAAAACCTTCAAAATCTACAAATGTTTTTAGAAAATGACCCGAATGGCTAGTTGGTTGAATTGAACTCCTCTTTAACAAAAACCGGAAAAATAGGAAAAAGCTGGAAAAATTAAGTTTTTTAATTCAAAAAGTAGGCCTTTTTCAGTTCTCCGGCGTGAAAATTCACTGCTGAAAAACTTTCAAAATCTACTAACTTTATCAGAAAAATGACCTTAATGATCGGTTGTTTAATCCGAAACCTCCTTGAAGTAAAAAATCAGGACGAAAAGCGAAAAAGCCGCAAAAATCCAGAGCTTTAAGTCAAACGATAATGTATCGACTTCTCAGGCGTGAAACTTTACTGCTAAAAAACCAACAGAAGGTGCCAAAGAAACTGTGATGTCGGCAGGAAGAAGATCA